GTTCATACCCTTGCTCCCAAACAGCAATAGCATCCTCTTTCCTTCCCAATGCAGAAAATGCACGGCCTGTATAAAGAAAATAAAAGCATTGAGCTCGAGCACCCTGCCCCAAATAAAAGACAATAGACTTTGCCATTTACAATCAAATAAACAGCAATTATTCCAGGAAAAAAAAAGTATCAAGGATGCCCAAAAGAGGTACATAACAAGACATCACCAATTGCAGAAAAGCATACACAAAATTCTACAGAAAATCTAAAGACAAGGGAAACATCATGTTGATTACAAAAATTCTAGGTTAGATCAGTAAATTTTATAGTTATTATCTTAACAGTTTTAAGCCTAAACTGATAACAGAAAACCACAATTGACTTTTCAAATTTCAGAAGAGAGCTTAATCTATGTTCTTGACTATATTATTACTTGTAAATCACACCCTGCGATTATTAGAACTTACTCTAACAAGCATTGATTTGCTACAACTTAGACCCTAGAGATACATTGCATGGTGTAGGGCTTAATTGTTGGCAAAGAGGATCTATATTACCATATTCATGGAGCTCTATCCCAACCAATGAGCATGTCTATACTCTATAATAGCAAACTAATAAGTCAAACTCAAACAACAATAGGTTTTGATGTTGAAACAATTAAACAAAATGTGAATTGCAGGACGCATAAGCAAATATTGAACCTAATAGAACCCCAAATTCTCTAAATTATAGCAAAATCACCAGATTTGAAGAATTTGATTAGTAATGCGAAGTCACAACCCTAGTACTCAATTTTTGGACCCAAAAGGGATGCAAGAATCCGGCAAAAATCTTCAATTAATCTAAAATTCAAATAAGAACAAACTAAATTGATTGGCAAAGCAGAAAATCAAGAGCCAAACAATGCAATTAACAAGTCAAATAAAAATAGAAATTTGAGGATCGAATAAAATAACAAAACCTTTAAGAATATAAGCTTGAAGAAGCGTTGGGTCGAGCTCTAGCGCCTTATCACAGTCTTTAATCACGTGTTTATGAAGCTCCAATTGACTATAACAAAACGCTCTATTGCTGTTATCAAAAGAAACATCGATCAGCGAAATGAAAATGTAAAGAAAATTTTTTTAAAAATTTTGGTAAAATTTCGAAGATCGACGTGGATAAAATCAGGAAAAAGTTTTAACAGACCAGATGTCTTGGATTGCACAAGACTGAGCGAGGAGCGAGTCAAGGACTCGGATTGCCTTTGACCAGTTACGGGAGGTGCAGAGTTTGGCGAGTTCGACTCGCTCGAAGATAGCTGAGCTCATGGTGAGTGACTCAGCAGAGCGAATTGGGGAAAAGACTTGAACATGGGAAGCGGTGAGGAAAAAGTGAGTGGAGGGGGGAAGCAACCGTGGTGGAGAAATCAAATGCGGTGAGGGTGGGGAAGGTTTTATGGCACGTGCGTATGACACTGTGGAACTGGTTTTGACGCATTTAGTTTTGGTCTTTGGTTAAGTAGATATGGCAATGGCACCTGGGGCACGTCTTGAGACGCGTCTGCTGCCTGCAACTTGAAGGCTACGGACTTGACCCGATTGGGAGTTAATTAATGTTTTGTCCAATGTCTTTTCGGTACTTTCTGATGTTTTAATCAGACCGTTAATCAAACCAATTGGACGCTCGGTTCAATTGAATTTAATATTAATCAAAAAATACAGTGAATACTTACCAAAATATACGTGTGATTAAATGGCTACCACATTAATTAAAAGCTAAGGGACAATAAATTCTAATTTTATGGAAAATATTTTTAATTAATTAAATAATAAATAAATTATTAAAATCCCATTTAATGCGCCATTCAATTTCAAATTTATTAATTTTGAATTGATTTAATATTTTTTGGTTGATACTTACTTGATCATAAAAAAATTATTTTAAATTGATTTGAACAATTCAATCCGATTTTATTTTTATAATATTTATTTTTGTTTCATTTTATTTTTAACAAATCAGACATTAAATTAAATCAATTATATTATAATTTTCAAATCATTGAAGCAAAAGTACTTTTTTCATCCAAATGTTTTAATCTAAAATTTGTCCAATTGCATAAAAAATAATTGATGATAAAAAATAATAATGTCATTATTATATTTAATCAAACACATAGATCATGGATTACTCTTCAAATTCAGTAACAACAGATATGTCAGTGAGAATTAAATATTTCACCTCAAATTTTGACACCAATTATCCTTTTGACACGTGGTGTAGCATGCATTTTGGTGCATAGAGCGATGAATAAAGTTTGAGGCAAGTGTTTTTTTTTTATTTTTTTTGGTCCTGAGCTGAATTTAAGGATGGCAATCCAATTTGTTTGTGGCGAGTTTTGATATGATTTAATTTTTAAAGGTTGAGTTTTTTTTTTTTTAAATTAGATTTTGGATTGAATAATAATTAAAATAAATTAAAGTTAAATTTTAGATAAATTTCTCTTTATTCAATATGATATATATAATTATTTTTTAATTATTTATTAAATTTTATATTTATATTAAAAAATAATATTTTATTAATCTCAAATCAAATAATATTAAATTTAATTTTATATAATATTAAATTATATTGGATTCGAATATAAAAATATATAAATTATTAAATTAAATTAAAATTTAATATTATAAATATAAAATTAAATCAAATTCAAACGAATAAAAATCTATCCTAATCTAATATTTTTTGTAGCTGAATTTAATTCATTTTTGTTTTTTTTTTTCTAGTATCATTCCAAAATTCTCCGGACACGGCTTTTGTGCCTCTAGCCCTCCCTCTCTTTCTTTTCTTTTTTTTTTTTTTTTTTGTCTCTTTTGTTCTTCTTTAAGCACAAAGCAAGCAGGAAGAAAGAAACAAAAGGATCCAACAAAATTCCCAACTTGGGCCGGACTTTAGATTGTGATATTGAACTTAACATAAAATAATAAAATAAGGCCAAGCATCGACAAAAACAAACTCATAAACATGTTTAAAAATGTTAAAAATGATAATTTTTAGAGGAAAAAGCATTACCTTCAAGAAATTATTATTTTATACATCATTGATAAAATTTTTAAAATGAAGGTTAAAATAATTATTACATAAACATGCAGCTATTTTTAACATATAATATTAAATTTTTTTATTTAAATTTAAATTTTATAATTTCATCCTCTATTTTTAGATTACATTTTTGTTTATATCTTTTTATTTATTGATGTTTTAGATATACTTTTATGAAATAAATGAGAGCCCCGTTGATAAGTGCATTCAATAATTTTCTGGCCTTCTAAACACGTTCATATTCTTTGAGAAATATTACAATTGCAAGGGTATGCGTTCCTCGCAATTGTACATCCAATGGGATTTACCGCTCATGCCAGCACAAGGAAGTACAGTGCAAAACCATTGGGCAACTGTAAGTCAAAGAGACAATGACTGATCACACTATGGTTATCATTACCAGACACTGCTTTTATGTTTTGTCTAAACCTAGACAATGGGAATTTCAATTTTGCACAGGTCAAACTTGTCATTAATCTCCCATTAGACCAAAAAAAAAAAAAACTACAGAAACATATAAATACAAATATTGTTGAAAAATAAAATCTCTTATTACATTTTAGATAAAATAATAAAAAAGCCTTAAATTAAATTTAATAATTATTCAAGTTTCTATTTTTTTAATCAATTAAATTTTTAAATTTTATTTTCTCTGTTTAAACTCTTGTTAAAGAAAAAATAATTAGTTATTTTTATCTAATAAAAAACTTAAATTTTTAAGTACATATTTGTATTTAATTAAACTTTTAAAAATTTAATTAAATACAAATATATACTTAAAAATTTAATCGATCGAAATAAAAAATTTATAATGTGATTGATTCTAATAAAATATTAAAATTTTAAATAATTATTAAATTTTTGTTTGAAGATATTTTTTACCCTTATGCTTACACTTAACTTCTATCTGATAATGGGACAAAAGCTAGCAGTAGTCATGTTGCGTTTGACTATTGTGGGATTGAAGGTCCATCTACACATTCACACATTGGGGGACCAAATTAAAAAATATTTAAAAAATTAAGATTTAATTTAATTAATTTATATACTTTATCATATAATATATATAAAGTTTAAATTTTAATACATATAATATATTTTTTATTATTAAACTGTAGTTTTTTATTAAAAAAAAAAAAGTGATAGCAAAAATTATTATCTTATTTGAATAAGATGGCCCGAAGCAAATTCCAAAGGAAAAAAAAAAGCCAAAAAAAAACAAAACTGTTGATCCTTTCTTCGATATCAGTTTGCACATAAAAACAAATAAAGGTTCTTTATTTGATAGAATTTGAGTCTTCAACCAAAACCATCCCAACCAACATCAAACTGGCCTTACTCTAGAACTACCAAAATATTTTTTTAAATAATTAAAAAAACCAAGTTTTTTATTTAAATGAAAATTAATTAAGAAAAACAAATAGCTGTCACATTAAGGTGGTTCTATATCTCCCACTTACATTTAACAGCCTTAATCTGGTAGGAGCGACCAAAAAATTGAGAAAATTAAAATTTGATTTAAAATTATATTGTTTGGCTTCATTGGGATCAATTTTTTTATTTAATTTAAATTAAATTTTAATTTTAAATATATATACATATATTAAATTTAGATCAAATTTTGAATCAAAATATAAAAAATAAATCAAATCAAATTATATATTTTTCAAATTTTATAAAATAAAAATACTTATTTTATATATAAATATATTTAAAATATTATTAAAATAAAAAATAAATTTTAAATTTAAAAAATTGATGAATCGAATTAAACCATTAAAATTTGATTCAAATCAGATTAATTTTTAAAAAATATATAAATATAAATTTGAATTAAATTTTAAAAATTATATGTTATTTAGAAATTTTAAATCAAATTTAATTCGATTGAAATTATTATCACCCTTACCGCGCGTAAAGGACGGGAAATGCTACCCTTTGGCCCAATTCATTTACGTCGAATGAAAGCGCCGTTTCATGCCGACTTTACAATTTTCTAATAATTAATTAAACTGTTTGAGGATTGGAACAAATAATTAAGCACACTTTCAAGTTTTTTGACGGCCCGAACCCGGTTGCTCATTTTACACGTCGAATCAAAGCAATTTTTTTCTCTAGGTGCTTAATCGAACACATCAACACAATTACAAATTATACACGTCATTTTCCATGAAATCAGCTTAAATGCTTGGAAAAAGAAAAAAGCCCACCGGTTGCGTTAGAGTCGCCATGAAATCAGCTTGCTAATTCATTATTAACTTCTTAATAAATTAAGATTAACAGTTCGGATTATTAGAATTGAAAACAAATAACCATGATTTTGCTTTAATAGTAGTAGTAGAAGTACTTAATTTCGTGACGTGATATCGTAACGAATGTGCCGAAGGAGCACTGGGATGACGATATCCGGGGAGCTTAGCTGAGGGAGATGACCATCGGATGTCATGACTTCAACGATGGATTCGCCGCCAAGGTTTTGGTGTAAATACTCGGACACGACGACGGGGACAGCCAAGTCTTTCACACTTTGGAGGATATGACAAGGGACGGTGACAAGGCTGAGGATTTGTCTCATGTCACTATGGAATATGGTTTGAGCCACGCTGAGGGCTATGTCAGGTCTCATGTTGAAGAGGGTACGGCTGAATTCTTGAACCGCCACAGATTCCATGTCGCCTCCCACGGCTAGCGGTGCGAACCCTGAACACCAGGCTTTGTAGTTAGCTCTCATTGCTTCGAAGAGTTGGTCCAACTCTTCCTGCTCAAATCCTCCATAGTAATCCACATCATTCAGATACCTAAAACAATAATAAAATAGGTCAAGCTGCATATAAAAATTGATAAGAACTATTAGAAAGGATCTTTTAACTAAAAAAATAGCTTCAAACACATGACTGGAAGTAATTTAATAGATCTTACATCTCACTGAAAGCTACTCTTTTCTTTGTTTTTACCTGGGGGAAGCAGAGACCATAATGATTTTGGAGAAGAGATCAGGACGCGAAATGGAAGCGATGGTACCAACCATGCCAGAAAGAGAATGACCAACAAAAATACAAGAATCAACCTGGAGCTCTTCAAGTATAGCAAGCAAATCATAAGCAAACCCTTCAAGAGTAGAGTAACGATTGAAATCAAAGTATTCCGGGTTGGTTGTTCCAGCTCCCATGTTATCATACAAAACCACACGGAAATCCTCCACCAGGTGAGGAACTAAGTGCTTCCAAACTGACTGGTCCGTCCCAAATCCATGAGCCAAAACTATGACTCGATCGCCTGACCCCAAAACCTTCACGTTGTGAGCTTCTTCGACGATCCCCATCAAATTTTTTTCCTTCCCCTAAGCCGCTTCGCAAATTGTGGACAAAAAAACCGGAAAAAAGTGACTTAGCTTTCACGTGTGCGTTGATTACTGTATTTATAGCTGTCAACTAGTAGTACAACTCATTTCTCTGACGCTTTTGAAGAGAGTTGACGAGGTCACGAGGCAGATGGTTCATTGGAAAAGCTCATTGGGTTTTTCTACAGTATAGAAATAAAAAGCCGTGGTGCTACTGTTCTAAAATCAGACGGTTGAGAGGGGTTTTGGGATGACGATGTGATGTGATGATACCGAGTTTTCATTCGTGGTTGAATGATTATACCGAGTTTTCATTCATGGTTGTAAGCAATCATTTATAATTGTCGTATTATAATTAATTATAATTTAAAATTTATAAGATTTAAGAGGATATTTGGTTCGAGTGAAAGTAAGAATTTTTTTTTTTTAATTTTTTTTTTGTAACGTGATTTTCATATTTGATTTATAAAATATGATTCTCTAAAATTTATAAGATTAGCAAGTGTGTTAATGAGAAAAATAGCTTAAAATAAAAAATATTTTGTTCTTTAGGTTTTCTCGTATTCTTTACGAAGTATAAATTTTGTCTCATTTATTTTCAATAATTAGTATTTAGTATCTATTATGCTTTTTAATATCATAAAAAATACATCATAACCTAAAATGCAATTTGACATGCGCAAAGACATTAAAGCTTCAACATTTGACACTTGATATCACGTCATTTTATACAAAATAGAAATTAATTTTGTTATTTTAGTTCATTTTTTAGTTGAGTTTTTATATAATTAATTTAATTTACTTTAATAAATATATAATAATAAAATTATTAATGTATACAATATTATATCAATAATATTCTAATTATTTAAAATAAAAAATGAAAAAAATATTTTTACATTATAATCCTATAAATCTCAAGTAGTTGGATCACAAGAGTCCACATCCTTGCATTATATGATTTCTTAATTGAAAATGACTTACCAACACAATTTTTAGGGTTTACTACTCTTTGCAGTATTCTCATTTTTCATAAATTTTTTTATCTTAAATAAGACATTAGATATATCGATTTACCATTTTAATTTGATTAAGAATGATAAAAAAATAATAGTAAAAGATTCTTCATGAGAAAATAAAAATATTTTGTTAAACTGTGTGTTAAACATTATAAAAATGAAAAGCACAATTGATGAATCGATTTTGTCGACTAATGATGTGATATTTTTAATATTATAAAATGATATTTTAAATAATTTGTATATATTATTAAATTTTCATTAAAATTTTATTTTTAATAAAAAACTTCACTAACTCTATGTAAAAAATTTTATCAAACTATTATCCTTTTATAAAACTATTACAATATATATATATATATATATTTTTGTCAAGCATCTTAAATCATTTGTTATAACACATTTTATTTTATTTTTTTGCTTTTGAGTGAAAATTTGAATTTTTTTATGATTAATATGTTTTTTAACATTATATAAATATAAAAATTAATTTAACTAAACTGCTTGTAAGTTAAATTAATTGATTATTTATGTATTAATTAATATATTTAAAAAATAAAAAAATTATAAAATATTAAATAAATAATTTTATAAATATCACGTGTTACGTATATATTATAAAAGATAATATAATAAAAAGTTTCTTTAAATGATTTTAGAATATATTGACCGTACATAAAAATTTTATATTTTCTAATAGTAACAGAATAAGTGAATCGTCTATTCCTTTGACTA